TCCATCCACCATAGCCAAGCGCCTTCTACCTTCTTCCTTCTCCGTCTCCTTCACCCATCCACCGTAGCCAAGCACCTTCTACCTTCTTCCTCCTCTATCTCCTTCTCCCATCCACCATAGCCAAGCACCTCCTACCTTCTCCCTCCTCCATCTCCTTCACCCATATACCATAACCGGACACCTTGCACCTCCTCCCTCCTTCATCCCCTTCACCCATCCTCCATAGCCAAGCACCTTGTACCTTTTCCCTCCCCCGTCTCCTTCCGGCACTCGTGTATCATGCTCAAGCAGGGGGGTCTAAGGGGCATAGGGCGTCAAGGGTACAATAGGTGGGCGATTAAGAGAAGGATCTGGATAGGTCTAGGAGGACTTCTCTCTCTCTCTCTCTATCTCTCTCTCTCTCTCTCTCTCTCTCTCTCTCTCTCCCTCTCTCTCTCTCTCTCTCTCTCTCTCCATTCTTCTTAACACCTCCTTCCTCTCCCCTCCCTTCCGCCGACGTTCCCTCGCCCTTACCCCGAGAGAACTGCACCCTTTCCTCCCCTTCTCCCCCACCTTGGCACATGACTAACCCCCTCCTCACTTGTCATATTGCCAGGGGACGAACGATAAGAAGGAAGCAACCCTCACTAGGTGGAAGAAGAGGGCAAGGGGAGGGTAGCTGGTCCCTTGCGCCACCAAGAAGGGAAAAGAAAAGAAGGAAGGGAAGGAATTGTGATAATTTGGAAAGGCAAAAATTTTTGGAAAGAGCGGAGCAAGCGAGTATTTAACAAGGTCAGTTGACTCAACCATTTCCCCGACTGCATAACTAAGGGAAGAGCATGGCTTGATTGCGGGAAGGAAGGAAAAGGTTGAAAGAACCATGGAAGAGGAAAGGACTTAGGCTTGCAAGAAGGGCGATGCGTTGATCCCAATGGGGGGATGGATGTTGTTCCTTGCTTGTGTGGGAATTGTGCAGGTGAGTAGCTCGAAATGACTTGAGCGGGATTGGGATGAGGATAAGCAAACTAGAGGAGGACCAAAGGGAAGCAAAGGGAAGGGAAGAGAGGGGCATGGCTTTGTATGGTACGAGTGTGCCTTGGTTGATGCGGGCAAAATGGACGCCCGAAATGACTAAGGGCCGCAATGGTATCGTGAATGGAATGCGTGGGCTAGACAAAGGAAATGGTAGCGGCATAGGGGAAGGACGGCATGGCCGCGCCCCGATGATGTCGGAAGTCTGTCGTGACATTGGGGAAATGGTGCGTGGCCTAAGGGTAACGCTTAGCCCTACGCACAAAAAGAAGAGGAATCTCCAATGGACCCCCTGGACTGCCTGAGTATTGGAAGGACCAATTGCTTGCGAACACAACGGGGAATCAAGAATCTACGCTTGCGACAGTTGACCAGCGAGGCTACCACCCAATGCAAGGGCTGAGCTACATCCCCAATGTCAAGCTCTCTCGCCCTATTGGCCCATCCCCACCATACCAAAGCACTAGGTGGGGGTGGCCCCGTGACCAATGACACGCACCCCGAGCTTGAGCGTGGGCGGGTTGAGCCAAATGGGACCCGCCGGGGGTCGACGAAGGCTCGAAAGTCTACCGGGGTTCGTCCAACATCGAAAAACACAAGCAGATACCCTTGTAAGGATTTTACTCCGACAACGATGTTCAATCCTTTACCACCTGAAGCTAGAACGAAACTCATCATCCAAAAATTTCAGATGCAATGCAAATATGGATTTCTAAAAACCATCGTCTCTGATCGGGATGTACGGTTCACTGCCCAACAGTGGCAAAAGTTGAGGGAAGCATATGACACTCGATTGACCATGTCGTCAAATACACACCCTGAAACGAATGGCCAAATTGATCAAATGAACCGACTGTGCCAACAACTTTTACGAATGTATGTACGACCAGATCAGATCGATTGGGATGAGAATTTGCCAAAGATAGCAAGTGCGTACAACAATAGTATTCACACAATAACATGTCGAACACCTAACGCAATACATAAAGACTGAAAGTCGGGAAGTCTTATTGACGCTTTGACCAGGGACCAAGTCCAATGGCTACCACCGGGAACGTGAGAATTTGCAATTTTGTATAAACAAGACGTACTGAAAGTGAAAGGAAACATTAAGAAAGCCCAACTGCAGATGATTGAACATGCTAATAAGCACCGTCGACGATCACAGTTCCAAGGAGACCTAGTCTAGGTAAAGTCTAATGAATTTTCCTTGGAAGAAAATGTGTCACAGAAATTGCTGCCTATTACAGACCCTGGGAAGTTCTCAAGGTGATTGGGACACAGATGGACCTTCCTATATAATTGATGTACCCCCTCACCTCAAGACATATCCCGTCTTTCGCGCTTCCAAACTTCTACCCTATGTCGAAGGCCACTAGTTTCCTAACCAGCCCTCCGTGATTCCTCCCTCTACGAATGGACGCTATGAAGTTAAACGAATCATGGGACATGGATATTTCTCTACACGTAGCAGAGGAAGACAACAAAAGCAGTATAGGTAAAGTTCAATTCACAGTCTGTCACAAAAGCAAGATGGTTTTCTAAGAAAGAACTTCTACCTACTGCACCTAATATTGTCCCTACGTATGAGCGTGAGTTAAGAAAAAAAGCCTAAAATTAATAGTTTCTGCGTTGGAACTTGAAATTCGGCCCGATGGAATGCAATAAATCAATGTACAATATGCAATAGTCTAGAGCCACACAGGGACCAAAGGCCACGCCCCGGTCATAGAAAATCGCTTGATACAAGGCCCGTTGCAGTGGGTACCCGAAGCACGGCCTAAACATCGGTCCCAAGAGCCCTGCGTGCGACAGTTGACCATGAAAAGTCAAAGTTCAACAGCAGCTCATAAATTCAGGCTCACAAGTCAAAGTCTACACGGTCTCAGCCCAGGCTACACTCCAAACACACACGCTTGGTTGTTTGCAGGTATCTGTCAAGGATTCAGTCCAAGTGGGAATCTGCAACTGTATGGAATCCAAGCTGTCGACTATAGGTCAATCTGGGATGTCGTAACTGCGAGACCAGAGGCTGGACAAGCCGAGTCAACACTATATGTTGACCCAGCCTTTCTGACCGTTATTCAGTCTTGCACTTGCTGCTCGACGCTGGCTGAGTGTTAGCTCTACGCTGGCATAACGCTGGCATCGTTGGCTCTGCGCTGGCTTGACATTGGACAACAACGTGAGATTGCTCTGCGTTTATTTGATGCTGGCCCCATCTCCATCCTTGGCGCCAGCTGGATCAGAGACTATACTGACGTGCCACTCGCCACAATGTCTGCTACCGAGACTATGTTGAGGTGGCATTGGAAATATTGTCTACAACATTGATTGGTAATTGGCGAGGAGGAGGAGGATCAGAGCTGTGAGATTGGTTGACTGAAGGGGAGCTTACCTGTTGATGATGTGTCGACATTGCGCATTGTTCATCATCTTCACGAGGTATCTGCGCTGACAAGCGCTACAATGAGATCTGCTCTTTGTCAGATTGCGTCAGAGGAGTCTGTTTGCTGATGTGGCGAGGGGAGATGCCCGAAGGAGAAGAGGGAAACTGAGGTAGTTCTATGTGCTACGCTGATGGACACTTTCTCTTCCACCCTCTCAGTCTCATCTCCCTCCCTCTTCTCTGGTGACCAGACATTGGGCTACTTGATGACGTATACGATTATTTGGAGACATTTAAACCGCGCTGAGACATTCTATATTTTGACATTGACGAGCTTCTCTCCTGACTGGGTTCATTGCACTTACTCCTACTTGTCACATGTGTGCGTTTTGTCAACTTTCTCTCCTTGTTTTGTCACGTCTTCCAATTGGTTGTAATTCGCTACTTTGGTTATTGCTTCCACTTGTGTTGTGAGCTTCCTTCCTTCATGCATTGTCCATTTCCTCACTTGGTTGTGAATCATCACTTTGATTTTTGCTCCTACTAATCACATGTGTGTGTTTTGTCATCTCTCTCACCTTGTTTTGTCAAGTCTTCCACTTGGTTGTAATTCGCTACTTTGGTTATTGCTTCCACTTGTGTTGTGAGCTTCCTTCCTTCATGCATTGTCCATTTCCTCACTTGGTTGTGAATCATCACTTTGATTTTTGCTCCTACTAATCACATGTGTGTGTTTTGTCATCTCTCTCACCTTGTTTTGTCAAGTCTTCCACTTGGTTGTAATTCGCTACTTTGCTTTTTGCTTCCACTAGTGTTGTGAGCTTTATTCATGCATAGACAATTTCCTCACTTGGTTGTAAATCGCCACTTTTTCTTGCTCCTACTATTCATATGTTTGTGTTTTATCATCTTCCTCTCCTTGTTTTCTCAATTCTTCCACTTGGTTGTAAATTGCTACTTTGAACAGCAAAAAGGACCGGTGCTTAGAAGTAGGAGGACGCCCGATACCAACCACCTTGCACCTTCTTCTTCCCCCACCTCCATAACTCATACCCAAGCACCTCACACAATCTTCTTCCTCCATCTCCATCACCCCTCCACCATCGCCAAGCACCTTGCACATTCTTCTTCCACCTCCATCACCTGTCCACCATAGCCAAGCACCTGCACCTTCTTCTTCTACCACCTCCATCAACCGTCCACCGTAGCCAAGCACCTTGTACTGTCCGCCTCCACCATAGCCAAGCACCTTGCACCATCTTCTTCTTCCACCTCTACCCACCCACCATATAGCCAAATACCTCGCACCTTTTTCCTTTACCTGCATCACCCATCCACCATAGCCAAGAACCTTTCACCTTCTTCTTCTTCCACCTCCATCACCTGTCCACCATAGCCAAGCAACTTGCACCTTCTTCTTCTTCCACCTCCATCACCCGTCCACCGTAGCCAAGCACCTTACACCGTTCTCCTCCTCCACCTCCATCACTCAACCACCATAGCCAAGCACCTTGCACCATCTTCTTCTTCCACCTCCATCACCCATCCACCACAGCCAAACACCTCGGACCTTCTTTTTCCTTCACCTCCACCACCCATCCACCACAGCCAAGCACCTAGCATCTTCTTCTTCTTCCACCTCCATCACCCGTTCACCATAGCCAAGCACCTTGCACCTTCTTCTTCTTCTTCCACCTCCATCACCCGTTCACCATAGCCAAGCACCTTGCAGCATCTTCTTCTTCCTTCACCTCCATCACTCAACCAAAACCACCATAGCCAAGCACCTTGCAGCATCTTCTTCTTCCTTCACCTCCATCACTCAACCACCATAGCCAAGCACCTTGCACCATTCTCTTTTTCCTCCACCTCCATCACTCAACCACCATAGCCAAGCACCTTGCACCATCTTCTTCTTCCTTCACCTCCATCACGTAACCACCATTGCCAAGCACCTTGCAGCTTCTTCTTCCACCGCCATCACCCGTCCACCATAGCCAAGCACCTTGCACCATCTTCTTTTACCTCCACCTCCATCACTCAACCACCATAGCCAAGCACCTTGCACCATCTTCTTCTTC